TATCTGGAACCTATATATCCATCCTTATATCCAGATTGACATAAATAGCTATAAATATTCGAGACACAATTACAGAACATGTTGCCCTTCGAACACCCATACTCACAGTGTACCTCTCCTCTCCAATAACATGAGGCTCCTTGTCTAGACCACGAGCGGGTCAGAGTGCACTGTCGCAAGGTGCCTGTTGCCCCAGCGGACCATATATGCGCATAGTCCCGAACCTAGACCATAAACATTAGATGCTACCTGGAGCTGGAGAGGAGGCGATGCACTGACACCCCAGTCCTGGTACTATAATTCAGTTCTTGTCAGCACTGGCCTCCCCTCATACTTCTATGTCACCTTGCAAATGCACTTACATATTGCATGCATATATGCCTATATCTCCACATTTAAGCCTATCCGCAGTCAAACCAACTGCGAGATTAGTTAGGATGCGCGGGGTTTGCATCGCGTCAACGTACAAATTTGCCAACAGGCACCACAGGTGGCCCGGACATATAGCTCTACGTCGGCCCCACATTACCGTAGTCCGGATGTACCCCCGAGTCAGCCAGCGACGCCGCACGAAGTGCCACCACCGTCTGTTGGAGCCTCCGAGCTGACTCATGCAAGCCGGACATCCACTTCAAGAACGTAAGGCAGTGCTCACCATCGGGATGTTGTGGCCATTGTCCTGACTGCTGACATCCAGCGTCGACCCCAGCGAGTCCATATACTTACTTCGAGTACGTGTCCAGTGCTCATCTTCGTTGGGTAACTCAGGCTTCTGCCGCCGCAAAAAGAGACTAAATCTTGAAGAGTAGTCGCGAGACGTAGGAAGCGCGAGAAGCAAGAGAGCGAGGATGGGCGGATGAAGGGAGAGGAGAGCAGGGGAGCGAGAGGAGCGAGGAAGAGAGAGAATTACGAGACGACTACGGCTTAAGTGCGCGCCAGCGGTGTTTCGAACTCAGCTAGCTAGCCAGAAACTAAACTCGGGCGAGTTTATGAGATATAGTTCAAGTGAATACTTGCGAGAGTTGGCGTGGAACGACTGTACTGGCCTATCCCAGTTAGATAGACATCGGTAGACCTAGTCGTGGTGAAAGATGAATGAGCTTGACGCGTACGTGACTTGCTCACGTGGTCAGACCTAATTACAAGGTGGCTACCTAAGTTAGTCGATACAGACATCTATCGCTGACTTCGGCCGTAGAGTTAGAGCTGGTCACTGCTAGTCAGGGCCTGACTAAGAGGCTCTGCCGCACAGTGAGCGCGGCGATCCACCGGAGCCTCCCAGAGTTCAGGTCGGGTTTCCGTCCACGTCGGTATTGCACTCATGTATTGGCAAATTGAAGTTCATGTGAATGTATATACCAATTATTCACCCAGTGGACCTCTGTCCTCTCTTGCCTTTCCCTGGTTCGATGCCACACATTGTCTGCGTACCGAACGAGGAACCGAAACGGAGACTCGGAGATGAAATCGGGCGCCACAAACCTTGTCGCTAATCGCGCTTCCACGCGACGCGTATCTTACGACAAGCATGGCAAATGCCGTCCCAAAAGAACAAGAGTCAGTCGTGCCATCCCGCTTCCCCTCCTCGTCGGCACCGTCTCGCACGTATTCCGTCCCATCTTTCTCCGCTGGGTTCTCTGTGTTTGACATGGCTCGAGTCTGACTAGAGGTCGTTTCTACTGCCTGGGTGCCTTCCGTATACGTCGTTTTGCGTCCCTGGAGGACATCAGAACACTCGTCACCAACTGTACTGTGTAGTGACATCTTCACGTATCGCACCTTAGGCATGGCGCTTCAAATATCTAGACAAGGAGGACTTGGGGCTGAGATTCCATCTGAACGATCGTTGAGAGGCCAGGACCCACATGAAATCCTGGATGTTAAGGGGCTTCCGACGTGAGCAGACTGTGACGGGATGGACTGCATTGGCGGAAACGCATGACTGGTTCGAGGAGGTTGAGGACCATATAAGGGTACGTCCTAGGGGATGATTAGGCTCGCATCTTCTCTAATCGACCAACCCGCAAGCACTTTCTTCGACGCTCGGCTGCCTGGCCTACTTTCTCCCTAGTAGACAACTCAGTGGCGACTTACAGACCAGGGAGACTCACAAGGGACACACCCACCTTGCGCAATCTACTTCCTTGTTTCTCTGATACTTGTCAGCAACTGAATATCCAACCATATGCGAGCATTACTCTGGGCGTCGAGGTGCGAGTGCGTCAGGACTAGCTTGATCGAGGAAACTCGGCGGATTGCCCGTGATTCGTCCAGGTCGTAGACCCGAGCATGCCATTATTTCGCTCGAGCTTGCGGCTACTCTGGGACCTCGTCTTCTAGTTGCCGCTATACTCTCTGAGATGCCATTAGTCGACAGCAATGGATCTTCTAACATTGTCGGGACAACCACGCACCCAAGGGATCCCTCCTCATTTGACGTAAATGGCTTGCTCTGGTGGCGTCGTTCTGTCGTAGTATCGGCGACTTCCTCCTTTGCAGACGCATATTTACAGCCATGCCTCAGAACTGGCCTTGGTCACCGGGGAGGTATCTAGGGAACATCGTCCAGGAGAAGATTGCAATACGTGCGTCACGAACGTGGTTTGCCTCCAGGGTCAGTAAATTGGACTTTCTTTCAAATACATGCCTCACCGTAGTAAATCACATCCTTCTAAACTGCTTCAGTCGCTTCAGTTGCCTATGTAGACGCTCTGAGTATTCTGACGGTGTCGCTTTCGAGCGAGATCATCAGTTTACTTACAGACGCTACACTGGCCGCTGTGGCGCAAATCCCACTTCGACGTCCTGATTAACCGCCCTACCCGATCCATCGCCTAGATCGAGGCCTGTAAGACGGGGGCTGGTCGAACTGCACGTCGAGGAACATCAAGCGCAACTGGGCTACAGCGCCATCGCCTTGTCGATGGATCCTTGTAGTCTTCGGCAGCGGCCGGGCTCGGCTAACGGTGCTCAGCGCCTCGTCATCGTCACGCCTCTCAGGTAGGAGGCCCAGCGATATGGATGGATGGAGAGCGGAACACGTCTATTCTGCTCGTACCAGCTGATAGTACAAACGGTGCAAAGAAACCCAGGAGAAAAAGACAAAGAAACACAGAGGTGGCTATCCCCTCTCCGATAACGCTTCGCTACTCGTACAAGATGGAACCAACGGAATATTATACAACTACACTGAGGAGTCCGACGCTCTTCCATTCAAGATTCATCCAACACTCTACAGAATCATGGATCCCGTACCGCAAGATATATACCCTCGATTGCGGCCTTCTTGTCCTAATCAGCATGGGGATGTCTCTGCCCCACCCCGCGCAGACGTTGGTTAGCCCGCGACCTTCACCATATTGTTGATTGCCACAGAGGAACAGCTAGCGGAACGGCAGCGGCGGCGGTCATGCGCTCATAGCGGTCGAGGTACGGACGCGGTCGCCGTGGCCCTTGTGGTGCCGTCGGTGGCTTGGGCGGCGATCGCTGGAGTTGCGCCTGTGCCGCAGCGGCGCATTTGTCCGCGTACTCGCGGAGCTGCCCAGGCGTAATCGGGCGTGTCCCGTCGAGCTTGGGCCATGCGGGCGTGTCTGAGTCTGACCCCGACGCGTGTGGCGCATGTTGCATGGGCACGGCAGTCGCCGAGCGGTCGTCGTCGGGCGGCGTGGCGATGGTAGGCAATTGCTCGGTGGTGGACGCGGGCGAAAGGTTGAGATACGAGTAGGCCGACGCGGATGGTGAGGTCGGCTCGGGCTTGTCGACGAGGTCCTCGAAGGGGTCGAAGATGAAGGGGACAATGGGGGGCGGCCACGCGACAGTCGGGCCTTCAATGTGCTGGATCCACGAGAGCTGCGACAGCATTCTGTGTGACTCCGTCGGCTCAAGGGCCTCCTCGTCCTCGTACCCACCCAACGCCGTTTTGAAGACGCCGTACGCGTCGTCGACGGCATCGATAGCGGGG